TCAGCTTTCTTCACCACACTTGCTTATGCCCCTATTTGTCTTCAGCGATCATGTTGGGAAGCTGAGCTTCATGGAATGCCAGTTTAATAAAACAAAGTTTTCTTGTGTTGAGGGAGTACTTGAGTAGAGGCCCAATATCCATCTGCTACCTTAATACTAACCTTATAAATATATACACATAGATTTGTTTCCTCATCATCATACATAAATACATAAATATATTTACATATGTTCATGCCTGTATTTAGACCTCTATAAATGCCCTTTACCTCCTAGTTCTTTCCTCTATTTCCTTTTATTTTCTTCTTGTCCCACTATCATGCTCAGACTTCATTTGGGTTTCAGCATTGCCTCTTGGATACATTACCCTTGCTCAAGCCCTACCAGGCCTCCTACACCCTCCTTACCACCGATTTTGGACCACTTGTTGTTCCCTTGCCCATGAGTTTGTTAACACCACTTCTTCCCCACCCATCCCCCAGCCCCCCTCGCCCTTGTCCCCCAGAGCAGTCGGCCAGGTTGTTTTCTTGTCTATATTGTTTATCCAGGTATGCTCCCTTCTAGATTCGCTCCATTTTGGGGGGTTCAGACCATGCTGCTTCCCCACATGTGACCCCAGAAATGTCCTCTGTCACAGTCTACTCCAGTAAGGGGACAGTGTGATACATGTTGTTGTCATTTGCCTAGTTGCCTCTGTGTCCCATTAGCTCCCAGCAGGGACGCCATCCTCTGAGCATTGTGTGCCAGCCTGGGGCCCAGTCCAACTCTCTTTCTCTTCCTCCCTCCCGGCCTGCCTCCATGCGGTGTGGCATGCTGGGCCCTCTCTCCAACCTGCTCTCTGCCAGATCCACTTCCAGGGAGGGGGTCAGTTGGCTCTGGTTGGGGCCAGCCCTCTATGCATTCATTCTGTGAGATAGAATGAGAGGAAAATGTTCATTGATAAGTCAGAAACTTTTCAATATTTTTGAATGATATGCAGGATGTCCATTTTATAAAATATATGACTATTAAACATTCATGTAGAAAAAGAAAAAAAGAAGATTGGTAGACTGTACCCCCATGGTGTTCACAGCAGTTATTTTCCACGTGTTAGAACCAGGTGATTCTGTTTTGTTTTTGTGCTTTTCTCTACTTTTGATAGGGAGCCTTCGTGGTGCAAATGCTGAGCGCTAACTGAAAGGTTGGTGGTTTGAACCCAGTCTCCACAGGACAAAGACTTGGGGACCTGCTTCCGTACAGCAAGGCCGCCCAAAGGGGCAACTCTGCTCTGCCACACGGGGTCGCTATGAGTCAGGATCGAGTTGGCGGCACACACTAGGCACAAGCATACTTGTGAAATGTTCAACGAGGCACATCTTCTGTCTTTGTAAAAAGGGACGAGGGAGGGACGAGAGTGTCCAGGCCCATTCTGTGGAGTGCTAGCCAATCCCATCTGGAGAGAACGGAGACACGAGGGAGCAGCAGAAAGAAGACCCCACCCATGAAGAAGGCGGAGGTGGGTCCCGGTCCAGAACAGCAGCCACCAGGGGGTTTGCCCCGCGAGTGTCCTAGAACCCACGGAGCTGAGAGGTGCAGCAGAGCAGGATCGGCAGGTTGTGCCCCTGAGTGTGCACACACTCCTCCTAAGAGTGTCAGCCATAGGAGCTGTGTGGAAAACAGAGCCTGGGGTGCTTGGTGAGCATCACCAAAGGCAAGAGAAGACTGCCCCCATGGGTTAGTTTTGCCAGCACAGGGTTTAAGTGCCTTAGAGCCATGTGTTCTTCAACTGTTCCAAAAGATGTCCATTTCTGCATCGGTTTTCTACAGTGAGATTTGAGCGATGGTGAGTAGAATGGAAGGGAGGCTAGCAGAATTCAGCAGACCCGGGTTCAATCCCTGCTGTATCACGTCTATAAGTTCTGTGACCTTGCGCACATGGACTTCCAAGGGTGTCCAAATGGAGCTAATCACAACCCCCTTGCAGGGCTTTGAACGAGATGAATGTCCGCACCATTCCTAGCTCCCTGCCAGCCATGGTAACAGACAGTTCTGAAGCTGGTCCTCTCTGTCTTTCTGGGTGACAGAGCCCAGGGGTATCATGACAGAGCCACAGGCTGTCTCAGGGTTGCTGGTTTTCTTCCTCCTCTTCTTTTTCAAGGAAATCATAGAAAAGAAAAGACACCCTGGTGGCATAGTGGGGGACGCATTGGGCTGCTAACTGCCAGGTCAGCGGTTCGAAACCACTAGCCGTTCTGTGGGAGAAAGAGATGGGGCTTTCTACTCTTGGAAAGAGATGGGGCTTTCTCTTTAGGGGCAGTTACACCGTGCCCTACAGGGTCACTATAAGTCAACAAGAAACCTTCTTCAGGCCCATTGTGTTTGTAACAGCTCAGGAGCCGCGCCACCTCAAGTGAGCTTAACACTTCTCTGCAGCGTCCACCGGGGACGCTTCATTCCACCCTTAACACTTCAGTGCAGTGTCCACCGGGGACGCTTCATTCCACCCTTAACACTTCAGTGCAGTGTCCACCGGGGACGCTTCATTCCACCTACCCCCACCCCCACCCCCACCCCCAACGGTTGCTTGGCTTTGCAGTGGATTCCAGTGGTGGTGGGGGGTGGGGTGGGGGAGGCAGCCGCGAAGAGTGACAGTCTTCGAAACCCACCTGGCAAATTCTGCCCTAGAGTGTGTCTGTGTGTCAGATTGTGTGTCAGAATGGCAGCGAGGAACGAGAAAGGCCCCTCCCGTCCCAAGCCTGCACCAGCAAAGGCAAGCTGCTTTACCTGCTCTGAGTCATCCTGGCCCCAAGCAGGGAGTGTGGCACTCCCTCGGTGACATCTACCAGCCCCCTCCGCTGGCCTGCCTGAAACAGAACAGCCTTTGAGAGACGAAAAAGCGCGTCCCTCCGCCTGGTGATGGAAACCTGGCAGGGCACCTGGCAGCGCCCGGAGGGGCTGCGATTTCCCTTCTCACTCCATAAGCAACAGCCTTCTGTTGTGAAGGAAATCTTCACAGTCCACGTTCTGCGGCCGCATGTGCTCCTTTCCTTGGAAAGGAAACCTTCTTCAGGCCCATTGTGTTTGTAACAGCTCAGCAGCGGCGCCACCTCAAGTGAGCTTAACACTTCTCTGCAGCGTCCATCGGGAATGCTTCATTCCACCCTTAACACTTCTCTGCAGCGTCCATCGGGGACGCTTCATTCCACCCACCCCCACCCCCAACAGTTGCTTGGCTTTGCAGGAGCTCTTGCAGTTGGCCTGATACCTGTCTGTGTCTGTGTGCACGGGATGAGTTTTCTTCCACGGTGAACAACAGGGAGTGTGTCTAGTCAGTAGGGAGGTTGAGCGCTCGGTCCGAGACTGTGCATGTTGGGGAACTGGCAAGGAGGTTCCTTTTTCCTTTTGTCTGGTTGTGCCCAGCCCTCCGTTGTTCAGGAGGGCCCGTGCTGCCCCCTGAGCTCGCCCCCCAAGCCGAGTTCAGCATCCGGAGGAGCTTGAGGCCCCAAGGCATCAGGTTTTCCTGCTCAGCCCGTTGTCATCGCCCCCCACTTTGTGCTGTCCCTCCGTGGCACAGTGTCAACTTGGTGCACCCAGTGGCTTTCGGCTCACAGCATCAGCAGAGACCTGACACCCTGCTCCCGCTTTCCTCGCCTGGGCAAGAGTGGGAGGCAAATGAGCATGATGGAAGCGGCAGGTGCCGGCGCCTTCTCTGCTTTTACAGCTGGGGCTGGCTTTAGACCCCACCGTTCCCCTGCCTGAGCCGCAAACACGCACTCCATTGTCCAGGAACCTGTCCGTTTCATAGGAGCCCTGGTGGCTCAGCGTGTAAGTGCACCTGGCTGCTAACTGAAAGGTCGGTGGTTTGAACCCACCAGCGGTTCCAATGGAGAAAGACAGTGGTGGTCTGTTGCCATAAAGATGGCAGCCTGGGAAACCCCAGGAAGCAGTGCTGCTTGTCCTGTAGGCCTCTCGGAGTCAGGCACTCGAAGGCAACAGGCCAGTTTCCAGGCCTCTTCATTGGCCTTTTCCACGTGTCTTCTAAGTATCCACCAGCAAAGCGTGCATGCTGGTATTTGTGGAAGAGCTGTACTGAGATGTCTCGGAAGCGCTGTACTGAGATGTCTGTGCCCTCTCACCTTAGTAGTTTAGCAACTGAGATAGAGATCGCTCAGTGCCGAAAACATTCACACAAATTTCCCGGTTCATTTCTTTTCAAACTTCAGCTTCTAACCTTTTTTTGTTTTTTTCTCAATTAGAAGCCTCTATGAGGGTGAGTCAAGAAGAATTGCTAGGATTCTAGTTGGTGCCTGCATGCACTTTGCTTTGAGTTTTCAATGCACCTGCTCTCTGAGGATACATGGCTGCAGACGTGTTCTTGGAGGAGTATACGACTCTAGTCTTGTAGGGTGTGAGGAAATGGCAAAGAGGCCATAGCATTTCTCCAGCTTGTGTCAGGGCAGAAGAATCCACAGCTGCCCAGACGTGTCTCTGCCCTCCAACCTTCTTTACCCTATCTTGCCATTGACTGTCCTTTTCTGCTGGGTTCTATAAGCCAGGTCAGGGTCGAAACAGAACGCACAGACAATACCCTCATTTGCAGTTCTTACAGATATCCGGTAAGCCAAACCAAACACCCAGTCATCCAGTCCCTTCTAATTCAAAGTGAGGCCTTGTGGCCCACTGAGTTACTCAATGGGCGGTGAACGGCAAGGTCAGCCATAGAAAGACAGGCTTTCTATTCCAGTAAAGAGTTACAGTCTCGGAAACCCACAGGGTAGTTCTCCGTGCTATAGGGTCCCTATGAGCTACTCTTAGCAGTGGCCAGTAATTCTCTTGTGTACTACTATGTTGGGATTTTTCTCTCCTTCCCTTCTTTGTCTGCAGTCAAAAAGGCTTTGGAAAATAAAACCCCTACTCCAGGCAAGATTTGAGAGCCAACATTTCCCCTCTGTATCTGCTCAGCGTGGGTTGGGTTTGAGGATGTGTTTGCATACGAGACACGGCAACCACTCCAGTTGCTGTCACATCGTCTGAACCCAGGACGACCATTCACGTGGGTCAGGCAGAGCTGCGCTCCATCGGTTTCCCTGGTTGAGACCTGGAGAAGGAGACCGCCAGATCTTTTACGGAGCGTCTGGTGGGCTTGAACCACCAGCCTCTTGGTTCGTAGCCCAGCATTGAACCACTCATGCGATTATTGACATCCTAGCTGATCTTAAAAACTACCATATATGCTCATGTGTAAGCCGAGTTTTTTCAGCACATTTTTAATGCCGTTTTTGTGGTAGAATTAGGTGGCTCGGCTGATATTCGGCTTGGCGTATATTCAAGTATATACGGTAACTTTGCAGAGAGCATTATCTTGTTAGGATAGTATATTTCCAGTTTTTAAAAGGGAAAAGTATTTGGTCTTCAATTGCGGGGCACACACTTCTTTTTCTTTTTTTTTTAACCTCAGTGGTACCTATTTCAGTTAACTTAATAAAATGAAAAAGACCAGAGAATGTTAGAAAAGACAAATTAAGAGCAAAAGCAGAGCCATTCTAATACAGGGAGCCCCTTTTGCTGGCTGGGAGGGTCAAGTTAGTATAAGGAAGATGACCTCCGCATGACCCCCAGCCTGCTCTTACCTTCCCACCCTTCTGCAGTAAAGATGTGCCAGCCTTGTGGTAAAAGGGGTCCGTCTTCCCCAGGCACTGGACAAGGCCACATTCTTTTCTCCTCTCCGAAGGTCCTGTGTAAGATCAACACTCACAGAGGAAAGTTCTCATCACCTGCTATGTGGACCCTGGCCATGCTGTTGGGTATTAGTTAGACTGCTAACCACCGTGTCAACAGTTCGAAACCATCCTTGGTTCCACATGAGGAAAAAACGAGACAGTAAGCCCCGCACAAATGCACAGCCACAGGAACCCGCACGGTGTCCCTAAGAGTCGGAGTGTATTCAATGGCAATGGTTGTTGTTTTCTCTTGTTTATTTTTTCTGAACAAAAGAACAAAGACCATTTTCCAACAGTGGCCTTCTGCCTCCTTAAAAAATTAGTTATGTTCTGGAGAAAAAGCAAGATTGAGACCAGAGTCAGCAAGCATATTGCATCACTGTCTTTCAGGGCTCTCGGTGTGAGAGAGACTGATGGGTCCCACAAGGACATGCGTGGGCACCACTGTTTTTTTGATGGTTGGAATCGCCTTTTGTCTTTTGGGAAAAATGTATCTATTGAAAATATTTGTAGGAGTGATCCATGTTTCAGATTAATAATGTTTCTGAATATATATTTGTACCCATAAAAATTAAACTTAGAAGGGGGAGAGTCTCAAAAATCAGGCTTCTGTAAAGCTAACATAAAAACTGCCTCTACATTGCTTCCTTGATGGGTTTGGAGTAATTAAGCAGACATAATACAACACATAAAGGAATTTATTAGGCTTTTATTAAGGCTGGATAATTTGAGTTTCAGATTTTAAATCTCAAAGGGCCCATAATTGTTGTCATTTTCCACTAAAAGCTACATTTAGAAAAGAAGTTAAACTGTGTCGCAAAGGAAAGGCGGGTTTGAATGGAACGTACAAAAATGCCGTTTTCATTAATTCAGCACTTGAATGCAAGTGTCTATTGTGCCTAGCATGAGGCATTTAATAAGTAATACAGACACTGCTTATATGAGCTAATTTATGCTAATATTTTCGTGGAACAGTGTTAATTACAGGAAGTAGACGTCTGAGATTGAGATGTGCCGTAGTAGGGAGGGAGAGAGAGATTGGTTTCCTCTTCCAAAAATGTGAGTGACTCTAATTTGCCAGACAATTTAAGTCTTAGAAGTAAGGCTTTCCATTTCACTAGCAACTCCAGAGACACACTGGGGCTGTTCCAGGTCTCTGCAGGGTGAATTCTGGAATGGTCCATAGCTTTGGACAGCTGTCTTCTGCTTACACGGAGTTGTCCTTTCCACTTTAGCTCTTGTGTGTAAAATTCCATCTAAAACGGTCACCTTAGAATCTGTTTTGGTTCGGGTTTTTTTTTTTGTGTGTGTGTGTGTGTGTGTGTGTGTGTGTGTGTGTGTGTGTGTGTGTGTGTGTGTGTTTTTCTCCCAGCGCATTACTTTGCTTGGTATTGAACTTCACTGACCCTCACAGAATTCTCTGAAATTTTGACGTTCAGATTCCTGATAGGAACTTTGATGTTCTGTACCCTACTAGAAGTCTGAAGAGTATCCAGAAACATTTCAGTGTGGCATGGCTGTCAGGATACAAGCCCCATCCTCTCCCCTTACTGACTCCTTTAAACAAATCAATAGCTAGCCAACGCGGCGACTCTTGGCAGGCAGAGTAGAACCCCGCTCCAGAGGGTTTTCACGAAGTGCTTGCCTTAAGTCAATCACTAGGCCTTTCTTACCTTGAGACACCTCTGGGCTGCTCAGACTTCTAGCCCTGTAGTTCACAGCCAGCTATACAACCCATTTGTTTATAACACCCAAGGACACCTGCTGACTCCAGATTCCCCCCAAACGTCATCCACAGTGCTCTTATACAAGCCCTGGTGGCGTCGTGGTTATGCATTGGGTTGCCAACCCCAAGGTCAGTGGTTCAAAGTCGCCAACCACTCCGAGGGAGAATGACACGGCTTTCTACTCCCATGAAGAGTTACAGTCTCAGGAACTCACAGAGACCGTTCTGCCCCGTCCTGAAGGGTCACTCTGAGTTCGCATCGACACGATGGGCACTGAGTTTTGAGTTGGTTCTGTGGGCTTCTGAAAATGAACACTTCTCCCAAAGAAGCAGCACTCGAGACCCTAGAAGTTAAAACTGCGCCTCTGCTGAAAAGGTGCTCAGTGGGACTCGGGAACACTGCGGCTCATCGTACAGTTTTGCCCAAAACCAGCTCTGGTTCTCGGACTTGGGTTGGCTGGTTCCATTGAATTGAGAATTTTCTCTGATGTTGAAAGAAGAAATAAAATCCACTTAGAGCGGGCTAGAAGAGTCCTCCTAAGAGTATCTCACCCTATGGAGTAGATGGGAATGGAATCCCAGCTGCCTGGTAAACTTAGCCAGTCGAACACTGTCTGCTTCAGTTGGATATAAGTTCCCTACCTCTGTTTGCTGCATAGGACTAGCATAAGACTCTTACATATCCATCCTACTACTAGTGCCATACTTGAGACCAGCTCTTACAATCCGCTAGAGTGGATTTACTTCACACACACACACACACACACACACACACACGCACAGCTATGAGGGACAACAGGGACAAAATTATAATAGGATGTTCACCCCCAAACCTTCTAGAGACAAACTAACCAATGACACAGGAAACATCCAGAGAAGATGGAGAGAATATACTCTACCCAACAGAACTGGCTGGTGTTCACGGATTTAAGGAGGGGGTACGTGATAAAGAACGGATGGTATGGAACTCGGACGTCTAAGCTGCCATGATGGCACTGGTGAAGAACAAAAGTCTAGTGTCCTGAAGTCAGTTCCGACTCATGATTCCATAGAGGGTGTGTTGGGCCGAGTTGATAGAGAAACGAATCCAGTGACACTCATCTATGTATAAGAAAGAGCATTGTATCCAGAAGTAATTCTATATCAAGAAAGCATCCCCATCCAACTCAGGTCCATCAGTTTGGTACTCCTCTGTAAGTCCCTTTTCAGACCCACGTAGGCACATGCAGTGATGCAGGAAGCTCACAGGCCAGTGGGGGCACAGTCGTGTGGATCCACAGTTAGGGGAAGATGGCAGGACTCCAGCAGCTCTCCAGGTGGCCAGCAGGCAAGAACAGGAAGAAGGAGAGACAAAAGGAGGCTTGAAGGGTCTTCCCTATGACAAGGCCTCGTCCCTAAGGAGACAGCATCAGGCTGTGACCAGATTGGCAGGTCTGACGACACCTCTCCACAGGAGTGCCTAGTTAACATGAAATCATCTAGCCACCACATAGGGTTTCTGAAGCTGTAAATCCTATGCGAGCATCCAGCCTCAACTTTCTCCTCGTGAGCAGCTAATGCGGTTTGAACCGCTGACTTTGTGACTCGCTTATCCAGCAGTACCACCAGGGCTTCTTGGTGAAAACAAGTCCCCAGCTTTTAACAGTATGCCAACTGAAATGTTTCAACAAGTGCATGCCATGCTGGAGGGGCTCACTGATTGCCAAGAAATCTGGAAGACACCTA